TTGCGAAAACAAGGTAAAACAACTTCTATACAACGAAAGGAGACTGCGACCACACAAAAGGCCACACCATGTTGGTCTTCATACCTTCAATTAAATTGCAAGTTTGGAGGAACACTTCCTGGAAGAGGCAATACTGACCCCCAAATTGTGGGTTAGATACATGGATGACTATTTTGTCATCTTGGTGGTTAGGAAAGTTTAAATAATTTCCTACTTTCACTCAACCAGCGGGAAAGGAATATTAGATTCACAATTAAAATGGACGAGAATTAGTCGTATCCCTTTCTGGATGTTCTCATCATTAAAGAAAAGGGTAAATTTGAAAGAGCTGTTTATAGGAAGCCAACATATGCTGGCTCTTTACCATAGTTACAATATTAAGGTTGACATTTTGAAGTCGATGATTCTTAGAAGTATGAGGCTAGCGGATAGCAATCATTTGACTAAAGAGTTGCAACTGCTGACAAATATATTCTTGGAAAAAACTAATCCTTTGGGCCTAATTGAGAATAATATTTCTCTACTGAGGAATAAATTTGCAGACGGAGACCATTTAGTCAAAGATAGACAGACTGAAACCTTTTCCCATGTCGTAAATTTGCCTTCATGCCTTTTCTCAAAAAAAGTGGAGGATAAAAAGAGTGTTCAAAGAAACCCTCACACTTTCTTCTGTTATGGCATCTTTTAGAGAGAAATATGACCCATTATCGAGATCGGGCTGCTACAAGATTGCTTGCTCATGTGGTCGATGTTATGTTGGCGAGACATGCCGACCTATTCGACAAAGATTGGGAAAACACAAAAATGCTTTTAAAGGAAGCTGTGTTCAACAGTAAGAAGCAGCCGAACAGTTGGTAGAAACTGTACATGAGATAAAATGGTCTCAAACTAGTATGTTTGCTGATTATGGTACGTCTCCAGTTAAAAGAAAGATAAGAGAGGCTATTGAAATGAATAGATTAGGAAATAGATTGAATGTAAAGAACGGTGGTAGAAAGTTAAGTAGGAACGACTTATGCTCGACTGATAGATTGAAAGTAGAGAGAAGTCGTTGAATCGCCGTCCAAAGAAGGTGACCAGAATGAAGATAATTAACAAAGCCGTTATATATCGATCTATGCTTTTAAATTCCCTTTTGCTTAAATGATACTATTTTAGAGGTAAAATAGAGTCGGATAGTATTCTTGCCTTTGTGCTAACGTGAGAATTTTTTACAGGAATGAGACCCAGCTCTGATGATGTCCATCAAATGATGGACGAAAGCTCTGGTGAGATCGACCTTCGAATCTCTCCTTAATACACTTTCATACGAAATGAAAGTCCAAGCCATAATTGGATCTCTGGAGATTGATCGAAACCCAGTTACTCTTCATAACTCCTCCCTCGTTTCGGGTGAAGACGAGCCGACCTTTCGTCAAAACACATTCCTGTAAAAGAATCATGTTAATCTAAAGTCATACAGACTATCTGGCCATATCCTACTTGCTAAATATACTCATAAAAAGGACTAATCAGATCGTTTTGCATCTGTCTATCTATAGCTATATATTTTGCTATTTTATTTATCAGTACATATATATAACGTGTTTTGGATTGAGCCGGACAGTTTTGTTGAATTTAACTTTTGCAAGAATGTGTTCAGATCTGATGATGGCTATCATATGATGTTGAACTTACTTCCATTTTGAGCAAAGAGATTCAAAGTTCGGTTCCATTAGAAGACCAGCTGTCGATTGGCTTTACGGGAACATTCATTCTGACGCTGTTTCCAAGGCAATCACCT